TTAAAATCAGCTATTTTTTATATGTCTCAACATATTTCTTGTAAGATTTGTATGTATTTTATAATTTTACTACTATTGCAAAAAGTTTCTATTCTCCCTTTATATTTTCTATTTCCTAAAATTTCCCACAAATTATAGTAATCTGCTTAAAATCTTGTCATGTGGCCGGGCGCAGTGGCTCAAGCCTGTAATCCCAGCACTTTGGGAGGCCGAGACGGGCGGATCACGAGGTCAGGAGATCGAGACCATCCTGGCTAACACAATGAAACCCCGTCTCCACCAAAAATACAAAAAAAATTAGCCGGGCGTGGTGGCGGCGCCTGTAGTCCCAGCTACTCGGGAGGCTGAGGCAGGAGAATCGCTTGAACCCGGGAGGCGGAGCTTGCAGTGAGCTGAGATCCGGCCACTGCTCTCCAGCCTGGGCTACAGAGCGAGACTCCGCCTCAAAAAAAAAAAAAAAAAAAAAAAAAAAAAAAAATCTTGTCATGTGGTATAGTTTGACTGTGTTACCCGAATCTCATCTTGAATTTTTACATGTTGTGGGAGGGACCCGGTGGGAGGTAATTGAATTATGGGGGCAGGTCTTTCTCATGCTGTTCTCATGATAGCGAATAAATCTCATGAGGTCTGATGGTTTATAAAGGGGAGTTTCCCTGCACAAGCTCTCTTCTCTTGTCCACCGCCATGTGAGATGTGCCTTTCACCTTCTGCCATTATTGTGAGGCCTCCCCAGCCCTGTGGAACTGTAAGTCCAATAAACTTCTTTCTTTTGTAAATTGCCCAGTCTCAGGTATATGTTTATCAGCAGTTTGAAGATGGATTAATATATCATGGTTTTCCACTGCAGTTAGGAAATGATCCAAACTTCTTCCCAAAGAATGAACCCTGCCCACCTCTTCATTCTCAGACAACACTGATCTTCTTCTCACTTACTGCTTCCAAACACAATAACCCACTGTGGGGCTGTGCAACTCTTTTCCTTCAGGGTCTGGGCACCCCCCACACCTTAAGCCCAGTTGATCTTTTCCTAGTTCCTGTGGGTGTAACTCTCTCTCACCCAATGTCTCAACTTACAAGCATCTCACTATCAAAGTCTTTCCTGGCCACCTGCCTATATTAAACTTATTCCCCCAGTAATTCTTCATTATATCACTCTGTTTTTCTTCACAGTAACTTTTCAGAACTGGTAACTATAGGTTTACTTGCATATTTTCTTTCTCCTCCTACAGTTCACGATAAATGAAGCTAGCATTGAAAATAGGATTTGTAGAAAAGAACAAGACAGAGCAGGGGATATGGGGGGACAATAAAGCAAGACAGCCAGAATCTACAAAAATTAAAAGAAGAAAAAGTCAAATTATAGCAACACTAGTGCTACTCTATTAACTGTTCTTGTGTTTTGCATGGTTTTATTGATGTTAGCATTGTTGGTCTGTATTTGGATTTGCTTCCTTAGTTTGAGTGTCTAGTTTTCCTTTTTTTTTCTTTTTGAGATGGAGTCTCACTCTGTCGCCAGGCTAGAGTGCAGTGGTGTGATCTCAGCTCACTGCAACCTCTGCCTCCCGGGTTCCAGTGATTCTCCTGCCTCAGCCTCCTCAGTAGCTGGGACTACAGGCGACTGCCACCACGCCCGGCTAATTTTTGTATTTTTAGTAGAGACGGTGTTTCACCGTGTTGGCCAGGATGGTCTCGATTTCTTGACCTTGTGATCCACCTGCCTCGGCCTCCGAAAGTGCTGGGATTATAGGCATGAGCCACTGCACCCAGCCTTGGGTGTGTAGTTTTTCTCAGATGTTCTCAAGGGTCTTGTGGTTGGCAAAGCATCCACAGTTGCACACTCCCATACCTGCATGGCACACTCACGTAACTACACACAGACTCACTCCGAGCAAGAGAAAGAAGCGCAAAAGAAGGATGAAAACAACCAACAGAACAGAAGAAAGTACTATAATTAGGAAAGGAGAAGTAAGGAAGGAAGCAAGATGAGGCCAGTATGGATGAAATAAATGGGTGGAGAAAATTATGTGGGGGGGGGGGGTGGATTCATGATTCCAGTTCATCGTCAAAGGCCTGGAACAAGTCGTTGAATTCTGACTTCTGTCACTGAAGTCTATACTCTTAATAGATATGCTATTCTAGTTGTACATTTATTGATTTATTTATTTAGCAATATTTACGCATGGTATACTATCAAACTGTATTTAAAAAGACACTAATAAGGACCCATCCTGCCTTCCAAAAACTCAACTTGCCATGACGGAACTTTATAGAAAAAATGTTTAGGATGTTCGGTTATCATTTTACAGACATGTTTTGAGAACCTTGTGTTCTAGGCACTATGCAGGGCAGTAGAAATACAAAATGATAGATGACAGATGATAGACACATAGATAGATAGATAGATAGATAGATAGATAGATAGATAGATAGATAGATAGATAGATAGATAGATAGATTATACATACATACATACATAGATCATAGATAGATACATAGATGCATAGAGAGATGATAGATGATAGAAGATAGATGATAGATAATAGATGATAGATCAATGACAGATGATAGATAGACTATACATACATACATACATAGATCATAGATAGATAGATGCATAGAGAGATGATAGATAGATGATAGATGATAGTAGACAGATAGATGATAGATAATAGATGAGAGATCAATGATAGATGATAGATAGGTAGACAGATAGAATATAGATGATAAGATATAATTCCTGTCTTCAAATGACATACAGAGTGGCAAGAGCATAGATCAGGTTACACAGGAGAGATGAGAGCTCATGGGAGGAGCTGGGTGTGTGCTGGGTGGTATCCTCAGTGGCTTTCTTTAAAATAAGGGCTTTCTTTAAAATAAGGGCTTTCTTTAGAATAAGGGCCTTCCTGACTCAGCAGTGTGACTTTCAAGGTCAGCAGGGTGATAACAGCATTGCAGAAGGAGGGGGAAGAGATGGCAAAAAATATACAGAAAATATAGTACACCGGGGACACAGAGGTATTTATTATTGCTAGAGACAGTTCCATGCATGATTTTAGGACAAACCAATACACTAGAAATGAAGGCAGTGTCAGATGACGGACCCTCTTGCTGGACACACACAGAAATTCTGCCCTAACGTCTACTTATTAGTGAGACATTGAAGGCTTTAAAAAGTCTACCATTATGATCAGTGTTGCGTGAAACTTACCTCAAATCTTTCTCTGATAGCAGTGGGACGGTGTGTATCAAAAGGCTAAGACCAGGTCGGAAAGCAGGAAGCAAAGTTGTAAACATCATCAGACATTCGGGAGCTGGTCAGAGGGTGTGCGCGTCTGAACTCAATGTCCACCCTCCCTTGCAGGCTGCAACAGTCTTAAAACGGTGCCAGTGGGTTCTCCAGAGCTACAGGTAAATGTGGTTTTGCCCTACACTCAAAACCCACTTGATATGTCTCCCTTTGTCTGTTAACTCATGTGTCATTTCTGTATCTCTGCTCAGACCTTTGAATAGCTGTTTGGCTGCACTGTGTTCTCCATCTTGCCTTTGCTCCGTAGATATCCCTTTGAATAATCTGTAGTTCTATGCGACCTCCAGGTAGTACCCTCTTACCCAATATCCCATTTCAGGAGGGAAACCTTATAGGTAATAGCATATAAAATTTTTTTTTAAAGAGAAGATCATTTCTTAAAAAGATACTAATGATTGGGGTATGAGGAGGTTGGTGAATGAAAAATGGTAATTTTTATAGGGAGGGTAGAGAAAGTAGTTACCTCCTGCAATTCTGCCCAGGACAACAGGATAAGAGATGGTATCACTCATTGAATTAGAAAATGCGTAAGAAAGAATTGGCCTCATATTTAAGGATCAGAAGTTAAGATTGAATTGCCTTTTGGTGATTCCCTAAAAGGCAGTTAAATACGTGAAACTCTAGAAACAGAATTGGGAGTAAAAAACATGTTAGCGGTAGTTGAACCCATAGCAATGGATGAAATCACTTAGATAAATCTCATGGAATAAGAAGAGGGGAAAGCCATATATAGAAATCAAACTGTGCAAGTGTGGGCAAAGGAAAGGGAGCGCAATAAAGTGTCTGACAAGCAGTGGTCAGAAACTCAGGAGTAGGAAAGCGATTACCATCATAAAAGCCAACCAAGAAGAGAGTCCTCGGAAGGAGGGAGTGACAAACAGCATCAAATGCAAACAGCATGTAAACTGCCACGTGTTCCTCAGAATAGGCCACTAGAGAGTTCCATCGGTGACACGGGAGAAAGGGCTTTCTGCAAAATCACTCAGCGAGGAAGCTGGATTAAACGAGAAATGATGGAAGGAGGTCTTGCAGGCTATTCTTTAGATTAGATTGCCCGCATTAGTAGGTTAAAAGGTTGAGGGGGAAAATGTTTATTGTTAAAAAATAAAAAAGATGTTGTTTCTATATTGAGTAGCATAATCTATCTATGAAGCAGAGACTGAAGATTTGGAAGAAAGTGAGTACCATGAGAGGGGCTATTCTCCAGGAAGTCCAGATGAGATACGCAGAGAACAGGGTTGGAAGTGACCCAAAGGCGAAGTGAAGGATGGCAGCTCCTCTCAGGCACAAGGAGTGATTTGGCGCTGATGAATGGAACGATGGTAGCCTCTTAAAGAAGAAGGATTTGATCTTTAGCAATATGGGGTAAAAGAAAAAATATTTTATCAGTCTTAAATAAAAAATAAGTTACAGTGATGAGAAGCATGTCATTAACAGACTTATTCATTTATTCAAGTCACATTGATTATCTACCACATACTAGACACTACTATTTAGACATAACAGTTAAAATCTCACCTATAAAATTAATGAGAATAATGAAAAATAACATTTTAAGATAATAAGTCTTTCGTGTGATGAGTGTTAACAAAAAAGTAATATGAGAAATCAGATTTGATGACATATTTTTTATAATTTTTTTATTGAAAAATAAAAGTTGTATACATTTATCATGTACCACATGATGTTTTAAAATATACACACATTTTACAATGGCTGTATTGAACGAAAATAATTCCGATACTATCTCTTTCTTTCATATTGTTACCACAAGGAGGAGAGTTGGAGCTGAATGCTTGCTATTTGCACGGAACTCTGTGCGTCCGGTCCTCAAGTACAACATACAGTCATAGGCAGAGTGAGACATCTGAAATTGTAGAAATGTCTGAAATAGTTGCTGGCCCAAAACTACTCTGATGAGAGAACAGATGGGTGACAGCCTGGAGTTTCTATAAGCAGTTAGGAAAAATAGTCAATGTTAGCAAACAACATCCATAGTAACAAGCCTGAAATCGCCAAGAGAATATTTTTCATTACTGATGTGTAAACATTTGCCGAAGTTATGACGAGCAGAAGCTGCTTCTCCTAACCTTGTGGTGCCCACTCTGCTGAGTGTCTTTCCGAAAGCATTTCACTGAGCTCAGGGTACCCGTAAAACATCTCGTCCAGGAGCCTTACTTTATCAAAGAGTATACGACACTTTATCTAATGGGGTGTGCTTCCAGGAAACGTGTCCCCAGTCGTACACGCTACTTCCTTTCAGGTTCCTGAGGGAGACAACAGAAGACAACAAAATATTAGTGGATTCATAAGAATTATCACAAAAGCCCCGAAAAACAAAAATTCATTTTGTTTACAAGGTAGGATTTGAGAACAGAAGAACAGTAAGTAATTATTCCTGTTTGTAATGATATTATGTGAATTCCCCTTTTACCGGTTTTCTACTAATACTGGAACAAAGTACTACAGACCTCGTGACACAAACCACCAGAAATGTGTTATCTTCCAGTACTGTAAGTCGGAAGCCCAGCAAGGATCTCCTGGGCTAACATAAATGAATTAGTTGGACTGTGTTCCCTTCGAGGGGCTTTAGGGAGAGTCAATTTTCTTGCATTTTGTTTCTGAAGGCCAACAGTGATCCTTGGCTCAAGGCCCCTTTCCTCTATCTTTAAAGTCAGGACTGTTGTATCTCTCTGACCATTCTCACATCAGCATGTTTCCTTCTGACTCTGTACTCTGATTCCTTCTCATACCTTTAAGGACCCTCATGATTCCACTGGCAGGACCATCTCCCTATCTCAATGTCATTAAGTTTAATTACATCTGAAAGTCCCTTCTGTCATGTAGGGTAACATATGCACACGTTCTACGGAATACCCTGCCTACCACGGCCCCATTGCTTAATTAAAAAGTTGATAACAGGTGAAATGGAAAACATACAAAAATAATTTAGTCAGTCTCAATTATTTTAACACGTATGTTAAATGTAGATTTTTATCACTGGCATCAAACCAAGCTGTATATTCTACATGGCCTTTCAATACTCTTCTACTCAAATAACAACTACAGAAGGTAAAAAGCATACAAAAAGATGGTGTAGGAAATGGTCAGTGCACAAGACCAGAAATTGCACACCTGTGTAGTGGTATTGGCTTTCTTATGTGCTGTGAAATCTCAGAAAAGTCATAATTTTAAAGGTCTTTTAAATATGGAAAGTGGGGGGTATTATGCATCATTATCAGCGTATACAAAGATACTTTATAAATATAATTTCTCACTCTGCCCACTCAAAACATTATAAAACTCACATGAGAAATCTGCATGTGAAAGTTCGTTGTAAATTGTAAAACACCATCTAATTATGAGGGATTTGTAAAAATCCCTTGTAAATGTTTTTGAAAGCTTTTCACATGTATTAATTATCATTGATTCAAAGAGAGTTATAATGTATGTAGGACAATTGTTATTATTCTCTTTTCAATTATACAGCAATTGAGACTGACAGGATGTTTGCTGTCCCCAGCCAAAATAGTAACAGATTTGAGATTCCAGTGCTCCCTCAACGGGATTCTTCACCTCACCTCCTGGGTGTGCGTTCCCACATCCGCTTGTAAAGTAAGGGATTAAGCACTCAGGAAAAAAGCACACAATATAATTTCAGCCATGCTTGAAAGCTTGGCCTCTAACAAAATGAAGATTTAAAGAATCATGAGAAGGAAAGGGACTGCCAATGTGAGCAGAGGAAACTCATCAAGAATGACTTGACAGGAAAGAAAAAATTTTAGATGTAATTAATTTCAAAGATTTATAATCAGCCTATGGGTGGGCAGAGGAGTAGACCAGTAATCCTGACAATTTGAAGTTGGATGTAGTGTTTGCTTTGGTGTAGTGTTAGAAAAAATTGTGTAAAGTGTAGAATTATGCCAGTATAATGGTATCTGTTTTACAATGAAGAAAAATTCCCACATGTTGTCACAGAAGTATAAGATGCTCAATAATAATGAGTGACTAATTATCAGAGAAATGCAAATCAAAACTACAATGGTATATCACCTTACTCCCATTCAGATGAATACTACCAAAATAAATAAGTAAAATCACGAGTATTGACAAGAATATGGACAAATGGGGACTCTTGTGCACTGTGGGGGTTGTAAAATGGTTAAAATGGTGCAACAGCTGTGGCAAGTGAAGTATTGAGGATTTACCTAAAAAGATTCAGTTACTTCTTTTTTTTTTTTTGAGACGGAGTCTTGCTCTGTCGCCCAGGCTGGAGTGAGCAGCGCGATCTCGGCTCCCTGCAAGCTCCGCCTCACGGGTTCCCGCCATTCCTCTGCCTCAGCCTCCCGAGTAGCTGGGACTACAGGCGCCACAACCGCGCCCGGCTAATTTTTGTGTTTTTAGTAGAGATGGGGTTTCTCCATATTGGTCAGGCTGGTCTCGAACTCCCGACCTCAGGTGATCCTCCTGCCCCAGCCTCCCAAAGTGCTGGGATTGCAGACATGAGCCACCGCGCCTGGACTTTTTTTTTTTTTTTTTTTTTTTTTTTTTTTTTTGAGACGGAGTCTCGCTCTGTGGCCCAGGCTGGAGTGAGCGGCGCCATCTTGGCTCCCTGCAAGCTCCGCCCCCCGGGTTCCCGCCATTCTCCTGCCTCAGCCTCCCGAGGAGCTGGGACCACAGGCGCCGCCACCTCGCCCGGCTCGTTTTTTGTATTTTTAGTAGAGACGGGGTTTCACCGTGTCAGCCAGGATGGTCTGATCTCCCGACCTCGTGATCCGCCCGCCTCTGCCTCCCAAAGTGCTGGGATTACAGACGTGAGCCACCGCTCCTGGCCAAGACTCAGTTATTTCAATGTAATCATTTAAAATCGAATGGGGGGTGTATTTTAAGTAGACTCCCTATTTAAACTGAAGGGAGATAGTTGAAACTGTAAGAAACTGTAATATTGTTCATTGAAAATTCTAAATTATTCAGCTATCTGTTGAAACATTGGCTCAAAAGCTATAGTGGTTTTCGAAAAATTGAATATGATCTAGCAATCTCACTCCTGAATATATGCCCAAAACAATTAAAAACAGGGTCTTGAGGTATTTCACACCTATGTTCATAGCTGTACTATTCACAACAGCCAAAAGGTAGAAGCAACCTGAACGTTCATCAGCAGATGAGTAGATAAACAAAATGTGATAAAGGCACACAGTGTGATATTATTCAACATCAAAAACGAAGTAAATTATTTCACATGCTATAACATAAATGAACCTTGAGGACTCTGTGCTAAATGAAATAAGTCACTTACAAAAAGGCAAATACTATATGATTCCACTTATATAAGGTATTTAAAGTAGCAAAATTTATTGAAACACAAGGTAGAATAGTGGTTACCAGGGTTTGGGGAAAGTTGAAAAGTGGGAATTGTTGTTCAATGACTATAAAGTTTTACTTTGGCAAGATTATTCACATGAATATACTTAACATTACTGAACTACACACTTTAAAAAGAGCTCAAATAGCCAAGGCAATCCTAAGCAAAAATGACAAAGCTGGAGGCATCACATTACCAGACTTTAAACTATACTACAAGGCTACAGTAACTAAAACAGCACAATACTGGTACAAAAACAGACACATAGACCAATAGAACCAAATAGATAATCCAGAAATAAGACCAGACACCTAAATCATCTGACCTTTGACAAATATGACAAAAACAAGCAATGGGGGAAAGAACTCTTATTCAATAAATAGTGCTGGGATGACTGGCTAGCCATATGCAGAACTGAAACTGGATTCCTTCTGTACAGCATACACAAAAATCAACTCAAAATGTATTAAAGTCTTAAATATAAAACCCAAAACTATAAAAACCCTGGGAAATAACCTAGGAAATATTATTCTGAACATAGGAAGTGGCAAAGATTTCATGACAAAGACACCAAAAGCAATTGCAACAAAGCACAAATTAACAAATGGGATGTAATTAAACTTAACGCCGGGCGCGGTGGCTCAAGCCTGTAATCCCAGCACTTTGGGAGCCTGAGGTGGGCGGATCACGAGGTCAGGAGATCAAGACCATCCTGGCGAACACGGTGAAACCCTGTCTCTACTAAAAAATACAAAAAAATTAGCCAGGCGAGGTGGCGGCGCCTGTAGTCCCCGCTACTCGGGAGGCTGAGGCAGGAGAATGGCGGGAACCCGGGAGGTGGAGCTTGTAGTGAGCTGAGATCCGGCCACTGCGCTCCAGCCTGGGCAACAGAGCGAGACTCCGTCTCAAAAAAAAAAAAAAAAAAAAAGAAACTATCGGCTGGGTGTGGTGGGCTCACGCCTGTAATCCCAGCACCTTGGGAGGCCGAGGCAGGCAGATCACGAGGTCAGGAGATCGAGACCATCCTGGCCAACGCAGTGAAACCCCATCTCTACTAAAAATACAAAAATTAGCTGGGTGTGGTGGCACATGCCTGTAGTCCCAGTTACTTCGGAGGCTGAGGCAGGAGAGTGTCCAGAGTGACACTCCAGGCTGCTGTGTGGATGCAAGGACTCACTCTCCTCCTATTGCAGACATAGAAAGGGTCCTCCTCATAGACACAGCCACCAATCTGGAGAAGTAAAGGAGAGTGAGGCTGGGCACGGTGGCTCACACCTGTAATTTCAGCACTTTGGGAGGCCAAGGTGGGTCATGTCTCTATTAAAAATACCAAAAAATATTAGCCAGGTGTAGTGGCACATGCCTGTAATCCCAGCTACTCTGGAGGTTGAGGCACGAGAATCACTTAAACCCAAGAAGCAGAGGTTGCAGTAAGCCAAGGTCACATCATTGCACTCTAACTCCAGCCTGGGTGACAAAGTGAGACTCTGTCTCAAAAAAAAAAGAGAGAGAAATGAGAGAAAAGTAGAATATTGAAGATTTATCTGAAAAGACTCAGTTGTTCCAAAACAATCCTTTAATATCTAATAGGGAGCTGTATTTATTTTAAATACACTCAGTATTTAAACTGAAAGGAGACAGTTGAAACTGAAATATTATTAACTGGAAATTCTAAATTATGCAGCTATCTGCTGAAACATTGGCAAGAGCAGGCCCATGGTTGAGAATAACAAAACTGTATCTTCTGTGGATACCTAAGTGGAGTGCATGTTAAATGAGTATTCTCTGTCTCAGTTTTGACTGAGGCCCCAGGATAGGAACCATCAATGCTACTCATATTGCAGAACCATCTGTGAATCCATCAAAGCAGACCTTGCCAAGGAGGTGGCTGGGAATAATTTGGGGACCCCTAAAAGACCACTTGCCTCCATTCTTTTAGAAATATTGGAGAGGAAATTAGAAAGTTTTTTTGTGGGGAAGATATCGGTATGCTGCTGTTCCACTACTGGGCCTCCAGGACTTTTCTGAGGGACAAAGGTGCCTGCTAGGGATTCACTTTACATCTGTGTCAGGAGATGATGGGTGTGTGTTAGTCTGTTTTATGCTGCTGTAACAAAGTACTACAGACCGGGTAAATTACGATGAACAGAAGTTTATGTGGTTCATGGTTCTGGAGGCTGGAAGTCTCAGTGCATGATGCTGGCATCTGACAGGAGCCTTCATGCTACATTATCTCATGATGGAAAGTGGAAAGGCAAGACAGGGCAAGAGCAAGAGGAGGCTGAGCTTGCTTTTATAACAAACCTACTTTCTTGATAATGAACCTGTCTCCACGATAATGACACTAGTCCATTTATGAGGGCTCTGCCCTCTTGAAGGTCCTATGTCTCAAAACTGTTGCACTGGCAAGTAAGTTTCCAACACATTCAGACCAAAGAAGAGTCCTCAGATCCACCCAGAGATGCCCACTGTGGAGTGGGCAGATACGTCTCATTTAACCCTTTGTTGTGGCTTGCTGGCACCTGTTCCTAGAGCCCATGACCCTGACCATTTGACATGCATTTGAAGTCCTTACCAGTGGCGTCCTCTTTATTGTGATTCTAGATGTGGCAGACAGGAAGAGACAGAAAGTGTGACAGTTTGGGGTTCATTTTAGATGTGCTACCCAGGAAGACTACCCAGAAGGACTTGTCAAGAAAAGGGTGAGTCAGCAGCTTCCTAGGAGCAGAGGGAGGAGACAGAAATGGTTGAGGTAAAGAGACACAACCCTGCATTTCTAGCACCATGACCAGAATGGAAGCAATACTTGATTTCCTGACTGTTCAAGGGCATATGCTCTATGTGACATGAGGGGCAAAAAGAAAGGGTTCAATTGTGAAAATTCAGTAGTCATTGGAGTTGAGCATCATGGCTTACTCGGCTCCTGGGAGGAGAGGTGTGCTCGCCTGCCAGGCTTGCATTGCACAACTAGCATTTCCTGGTCTCTCTGCCCACTAAGAAAGAGCTAGAAGAAGAAAGGAAAACTGCAGCATTCAGAAAGTGGAAACATTTACGGAAGCAGAGATTTTACTATGTCCCCCAAAGAAAAAATTGGTAGACTGAAAATAGCTGCCAATGTCCGCCATGTGAATTAGCATGAACCACCCCAATTAAATAGAGAAATATTTCAATGGTGATTCCAAACATACATATTACATCGAATGTGTTCATATAAATTTTAAGTAGTCTGCTCTCCAGAAGGCACTAAGGGCTGCTTTGTACAGCACAAGAAATGGCCCTGAATGCCAAAAAGTTCTTTCAAAAACCACAAAACTACTTGATATACAGCTTATCTGAGAAAGATTCCCACAAGGTATAAACTGAATTCCTTAAACACGCTGCCAATAGACGAAGCAAAATAGTGGTTTAATAAATGCTGCATTCTTTTCTATAAAAGTATATCCAAAAGAAAAAAGTTGGAAATTAAAGATGTTATATTAAAATATGCCATTGTAAGTTGAAACATTTTTGCATTAAATTAAAGAAATTCTCATATTCAGAGAAAGAAGTATGTGAGATATTATCCATAAAGTGGCTGATATGGCATTTTGAATTTTAAAATTGGGTATAAAGAAAACAAGTTATTTTAACTTCAAAATGACTATTCTTAAAATTAAGCCCACCTTATACACAGAAGACTTGGAAATTTAGGGCCCATCAACAAAAATGGAAAAGTAGATTTATTCAATCAGTCCACTGGTTGCATTTGATTTTTTTACAAATATTTAAAAATCATTAAGAATTGAGGTCATCTTTTAAAAAATCATTCCTGCAAATGTGTGTAGAATTGTGATGCTATCATGCTACCTAACTTCAAACTATACTACAAGGCTACTGTAACCAAAACAGCATGGTACTGGTATGAAAACAAATATATAAACCAATGGAACAGAGCAGAGGCCTCAGAAATAACACCACACATCTACAACCATCTGATCTTCGACAAACCTGACAAAAACAAGAAATGGGGAAGGATTCCCTATTTAATAAATGGTGCTGGGAAAACTGGGTAACATATGTAGAAAGCTGAAACTGGATCCCTTCCTTATACCTTATACAAAAATTAATTCAAGATGGATTAAAGACTTAAATGTAAGACCTAAAACTATAAAATCCCTAGAAGAAAACCTAGACAATACCATTCAGGACACAGGCATAGGCAAAGACTGAAACACCAAAAGCAATGGCAACAAAAGCCAAAATAGACAAACAGGATCAATTAAACTAAATGGCTTCTGCACAGCAAAAGAAACTACCATCAGAGTGAATAGGCAACCTACAGAATGGGAGAAAATTTTTGCAATCTACCCATCTGACAAAGGAGTAATATCCAGAATTGACAAAGAACTTAAACAAATTTACAAGAAAAAAACAAAACCCCATCAAAAAGTGGGCAAAGGATATGAACAGACAATTCTCAAAAGAAGAATTTATGCAGCCAACAGACACATGAAAAAATGCTCATCATCACTGGTCATTAGAGAAACGCAAATCAAAACCACAATGAGATACCATCTCACGCCAGTTAGAATGACAATCATTAAAAAGTCAGGAAACAACAGATGCTGGAGAGGATGTGGAAAAATAGGAACGCTTTTACACTGTTAGTGGGAGTGTAAATTAGTTCAACCACTGTAGAAGACAGTGTGGCGATTCTTCAAGGATCTACAACCAGAAATACCATTTGACTCAGCGATCCAATTACTGGGTATATATCCAAAGGATTATAAATCATGCTACTATAAAGACACATGCAAATGTATTCTATTCTGGCACTATTCACAATAGCAAAGATTTGGAACCAACCCAAATGTCCATCAAAGATAGACTGGATTAAGAAAATGTAGCACATATACACCATGGAATACTATGCAGCCATAAAAAAGGATGAGTTCATGTCCTTTGCAGGGAAATGGATGAAGCTGGAAAACATCATTCTGAGCAAACTATCGCAAGGACAGAAACCAAACACCACATGTTCTCACTAATAGGTGGGAATTGAACAATGAGAACACTTGGACACAGGGCAGGGAACATCACACGTGGGGGCCTGTCATGGGGTGGGGAGCTGAGGGAGGGAGAGCATTAGGAGAAATACCTAATGTAAATGACGAGTTGATGGGTGCAGCAAACCAACATGGCACATGTATACCTATGTAACAAACCTGCATGTTGTGCACATGTACACCTATGTAACAAACCTGCATGTTGTGCACATGTACCCTAGAAATTAAAGTAAAATAAAATGAAATAAATAAAATAAAAAGGAATTGTGATGCTAAAAGAACTTCCAGATGTAGTTCTGGACTTACGCTTCCATGCATGCCAGCACCGCATAACAAGAATTTCCATCTAGTGCAGATTTGTTTACAACAATGCTTTCTCGGGGACTGCATATGCGTTTGTCTTTTATGGACTTCCAGAATGCCAATGTGGACAGGCTCCTTCCAGGACTGTGAATGTGCAGGAGTCCACTGCCATGGGGACATCATTCAGATAACTATCCTGAGACTTACACGAATCATACCAGAGTCTCAGCAAATACTTAGCAGATACTCACTGTATCTACTGCCTTGATCATTTTGATGTCCCAAGGGTAACCTGACTGATTTTTCTGAAATACAATTCAACACTCACATCCTCTTCTGTCTCCAAAAATAAGGATAAAACTCTTGGCATGCAAAAGAAACAAATATTTAGAGGCCCTAAAGCAAGTCTGTAGCAAGCCTGAGTTCTGGAAAGTTAATATACAAAGCCCAAGACCAGTAGGGTACCGTGGTACAGACCAGCTGAGAGATTCCAGAGAGATTTCACAGCAGACCTTCAATACATAGAGAAACACACCGATGACCAAATTCTCCTCTATGAAGAGTTTTAGCATTTATTACCTAGAAAGCAAGCTATGCATTTCCATAATAGCATAGTCCTCTGAGACTGGGATCACTGTGGAAGCATGTTGGATGAGATTCAAGTTCTCTGAACTGGGTGTGCATTGAAAGCTGTGGGACATTTCATTTAAAATTTAAAAAGCATAAAAGTATAATTTTATACTTTTAAGAACCATGGATTGGAAGAGTTACTTTCCTTCCACAGTAAGTTATCTTGGCTAAAGGAAGCCTTCAGTTGGCAGGACCCATGGTATCACAGATCCATTCCCTTTGGCGTAAATATCTAAAATGTTTCCACTACCCTTGGAAACCAAAAAATCTGTGAAGGCAGGATGGAGTGGAAAAGAGGAAAGAACTGAGGAGATTCTGCTATTATGTGGAGAAGAGGAAAGAACTGAGGAGATTCTGCTATTATTAGTTTTTAAATCTTGGTTGATTGCTTTCCTTGATTTTGTTTTGTTTTAAAGTAACTTCACAATAAGTAATAGAAGAAAAAGTATATAACTTAGGACAAAAGAAATAAAAACGATATTTAAAATAAAATTTTGATCAGAAGCAGATTTCCCCTCCTAGTACCAACCTATATTGCATATTTTCATATTTTAAACATGGAAAATAACTATATCGAATAATTATACTTACCAATAACTGTCTTGTGTCAAACAGAAAAAGATGTAAGTAAACTGCATTGTTCAGTGTTACTGTGAATAGTTAGAGAAAAATACTTTTAATAGAACAATGATTCCTAGTTTCATAATTTAAAAAAAATTGACAGTAGTCTTGAGCACTAAATAAACTAAGCACTAAATAAAAGTTTAAAGTATGACATTAGGTTCTAAGGCAAGTGAGATACCCCAATCTGCCTTCATGAAGAGAATCTTTAAAGCATGTTTCTATGATTTTTCTTAATGTGACTGATAATATTTTAGAGAATAAACATAACTTAAGTAACTTCATTAAAAATTAAAAATTCATACAAAAGTTACCTTGTTCACATAATTTTTCATTCAAAAAATCTGATGAGTAAAAAACATAACTTTGCTCTTGAACTGCAATTTTTCCAAATATTTAACCAACAACAATCAAGACTTTCATTTCATAAACTTGGAAACAAAATCAGCACACCCCAAATTGGTGATGAGAATACAACTTCTGTTATTTATTGCATAAGATTATACTCAGATATTGAGACACATGTAAAGTTCCACCTTAATGAACATAATGGATTAAGAGACACAGCATTCTTATGGCATAATGCACCAAATTTCATAATGTAAACCCAAATTATATTTCAGATTCTGTCTCTAATTAAAGTCACATGGGATAAGCAATTTACCACTCTTACTTACTTTAAATAATTTATTATCTCTTCTTCAGCAACCCAATCCCAGAGTCACACTTTGGGTAATTTCATCACCTACTTTGCCTTGCCTCTTCTCAGTCTCCTTCTACCTTCCATATTTCCATTTGTTCTCCATGAATCCACTAAGTCCTCCAACCTCTTGCCTCCCTCCATTTTCTCCTAAGCTGTCAAGCCCCATTGCGTTCCCTTGTTTCTGCACTCAGCCAGGACCAACACACTACATATTATTTCATCCAAGCACACCCAAGAACCCTCGATATCCTTAGTCCTTGCCTATACTACTTCTGAAAATTTCCAGTCCTGGAGCCAGTGAAGTGTATTACAAATGGAGAGTCTTCTGATTCACTTAGGCCAGGTTTATATTTGCCTCACCATTCAGCAGAGTACTTTTCTGCCACGATTCTCATTGATTCCCCATAGAGTGGTGACAATACTGTATCGATTGCAAGGGGGCAGAAATGAACCATGTGAGCTTGTGCCCACATTCTCCAGTGTCGGATATGACAGCTGCTTAATCAAGAATAGCACTTTTCTACTTCTTTTTAAAATTCTCAGGCTGGGCGCGGAGGCTGACACCTGAAATTCCAGCACTTTGGGGGGCAGAGGCGGTGGATCATGGGATCAGGAATTCAAGACCAGCCTGGCCAAGATAGTGAAATCCCATCTCTACTAAAAATACAAAAAAATTAGCCAGGCGTGGTGGTGGGCGCCTGTAGTCCCAGCTCCTCAGGAGGCTGAGGCAGAGAATTGCTTGAACCCGGGAGGTGGAGGTTGCAGTGAGCCGAGATTGCGCCACTGCATTCCAGCCTGGGTGACAGAGCAAAACTCTGTCTCAAACAAACAAACAAAAATTCTCCAAACCCGAAGCACAAGAGGAGCAAGGCACACACCCTACGGCTAACAGCGCTATGACAAAGGCATTGTTTCCAGAGCTGCATTCTTGACACTGTGCACGGAAGAGGATGTTTATTTCATTAGTTACCATCTTTTCTGAATGTCTTCAGCTATCTTATCAAAGCTTTTCCTTCTCTAGTCTCTTACCCTCTGTCAGCGTTCTGTAAGTCTCAGCAGGTGTGTTTGACATATATTTTATAAAGATGACCAGGACAACCTTCAAAGCATCATAATATCTTCCTGTAACCAGCCCTAGCCATTGATGAATCCTACAACCTTCCACTGCTGGTGTCTTCTGAAGCTGCAGGAAAGGGTCCATGTTAAGGAATCTGTGTTTATTGAGAAATATATTTCTTTCTCTTATAATGATTGTCATTCTCCCTATTTTTTATATCAAAATAGTTGAATGTATGTAATATTAGGAGTTAGGAATTTTCCATCTGAAGTTTAGATGTTGTTTGGATAGCTCTACAGTATTTGCAGGGTCCATGGTAGGAATGAATACAGCCCAGCAGAAGGGCCTACATTTACATGCGTGAGGTTTATATTTGTGCATTGAAAACACAGAACACTATGTACATTTCTGGTTTGTAAAATACCATTTTCAAAGACATAAGTACATTGAAACTTAAGGTATAATTTTGATGATAGCCAAAACATTTGAGTGTTTGGTTCTCTTACGTGCGTGCATCATTACATACCAAATGAACACATTATGCAGAGCGGGGACTGCAAATACAGCCTGGGGGCTGCCCACGGTCTTCTGACATGCTACCTTCTGTTATTCTACTCATTTCACAACTCTAGACTCTAATGACTCTCTAAATGCCCTTTTGAGGGATGATTGATCAAAATGAAAATGGCAGCCCCCATTCCCAGCTGCATGGGATGATACAAGCACGTACGGCCAGAGTAACAGGGCTAGGAGGAAGAGTTCTGTGCTGCCTTTTGGAATTTGACCCTATTTGAACTTTACTCATGCTTTACATACCATGGGCTTCTCCACTATTGAAAAGGAAGAAAAGAATGCTGAGTAATGACTTCATGTGGAAAAACAGAAAAGCAGACACTTCTTGGGTCTGCATTGCCACCCAGCACCTGATTTCTTCTCTGATCATTGAGAAGCTTGGCATGTAACAGTACACAAGCAGCAGATAAGCTGTAATAATACATGAAGCAAGTAGAGCCAATTAACCAGCACATACTCTGTGTTTCTGCTATTGCGGCCACATGCTGGGTTATCATCTAATCACAGAAGGATCAAGGCCACCACCATTAAGTAAGTACATCTCTAAGGTCATTTTGGAAGCCAATTCAAATATCTATTTATGGAGATAACCTGTCATAAATGGTGTGATTATATTTCTGCTTGAAGTCTGTACAAATTGTAATAATCTAAATATATTTATAGCTTCCTGAAAGAATAAAATACTATTATATATATCCTGTCTCTGATATCTCCTATGTAGACAAAAAGTTAAAATAGGTGAGAGAACTGACTTTAAAATAATGTAGGAATCACTGTGAAAAATATCTGACAAATACAAGGACATCTGGGCCAAACTGAAGAAGTACAAAGAGCAAAAACCTTACCTTTTAGACACTGAACATGGCACCAATGTCCCTGAGACCTCCAGGGACCTGAGAGCCCAGAGAAGAATATCCTAATTAGAAGAGAGATTTAGGGGTGTCATGATGCCGTGGGAGAAGTGGAGAACATTGCTCTGGAGTACTCCATTCTGAGAGAGAAAGAGAAAGAGGAGGTAATCAGATTTAAGGGAGACTCCGCAGGTTATTATAATTCTTTACCTCAACACAAATCCCAATTCAGAGGTCAAACACAGAGAAGAAAAATTGCAAAATTGAAAAGAGAACAAAAACTGCAGTCAGCTTTGCATTGACCAGAAAAAACTGAGCTGAAAAAAAAAAAGGCTGTGGATTGAAGAGCTTCATTGAGAGACATGCTGACATTTTGTCTGAGGGCGATATGCACAAACCGAAGGAGGCTGTAGCAATCTGCAGAGAGACCTGTCCCTGGAAAACCGACCCAAGTCGCTGTGCCCATCACTGACAGACTGGATGAAGAAAATGTGGCACATGTACACCACGGAATACTATGCAGCCATCAAAAAGGATGAGTTCATGTCCTTTGAAGGGACATGGATGAAGCTGGAAACCATCATTCTCAGCAAACTAATACAAGAACAGAAAACCACACACCACATGTTCTCACTCATAAGTGAGAGTTGAACAAGGAGACACATGGACACAGAGAGGGGAACATCCCACACTGGGGCCTGTCAGAAGGTGGGGGGCTGGGGGAGGGACAGCATTAGGAGAAATACCTAATGTAGATGATGGGTTGATGGGTGCAGCAAACCACCATGGTACGTGTATACCTATTTTGTAACAAATCTGCACGTTTTGCACATGTATCCCAGAACTTAAAGTATAATAAAAGAAAGAAAAAATAGACCCAGATCATTCCTACGTCCCACTGAAGTATCTATATATTAAAAAATAAAACTTTTTTTTTTTTTTTCCAAGACAGGCTCTTGCTCTGTCACCCAGGCTGGAGTGCAGTGGTGCGGTCTCCGCTCACTGCAACCTCCACCTCCCGGGTTCAAACAATTCCTCTGCCTCAGCCTCCTGAGTAGCTGGGATTACAGGTACGCACCATTACACCTGGCTAGTTTTTGTTTTTTGTAGAGACGGGGTTTCACCATGTTGGCCAGGTGGTCTTGAACTCCTGACCTCAGGTGCTCCCAAACTGCTGGGATTACAGGCATGAGCCACCACGTCTGGTGAAGAAACAAAACATTTTAAAAGAGATAGAGTAAATATGTACAACATATATTAACAACAGAACTAATTTCGTGATAAATTAAAATTTCCTGAAAGTAAGGAAAAAAAGGTTATTTAATTATAAATCTGGTCAGAAGAAAAAATCAGGCAAGACATATAAAGGTAGTACAAGGGGGCCAGACGCGGTGGCTCACATCTGCAATCCCAGCACTTTGGGAAGCTGAGGCGGGCAGATCATTTGAAGTCAGGTGTTCAAAACTATCCTGGCCAACACGGTGAGACCCCATCTCTACTATAAAAAAATACAAAAATTAGCCAGGCATGGTGATGCTCGCCCATAATCCAGCCTACTCGGGAGGCTGAGGCAGGAGAATCACTTGAGCCCCGGAGATGGACGTTGCAGTGAGCAGAGATTGCACCACTGCACTCCAGCCTGGGTAACAAAGCGAGACTCCATCTCAAAAAAGGAAAAAAAAAAAAAATGTAGTGTAAGGATGGGCACAGTGGCTCATGCCCGATTCCCAGCACTTTGGGAAGCTGAGGCAGGATGATCACTTGAGCCCAAGAGTTCGAGACCAGTCTGGTGTTCTCTAAAACAAACAAACAAACACATGATTAGCTGGGTGTGGCGGCTCATAC